TTTATCACAACGTCGCTGTTTCTAAGGCACCTACAGATGAACTTGAGTGAGAGGTGAGATCCTCTCCCGAATCAAAGTCGGATTGCTCGTCGTCTCTTGTGTCAGAGCCGGGCAGCTCGTCATCTTTCACCTCAGAGACTTCAGCCTCACTGTTCCTCATTCTTCAAATCCAGCGATCACAGAAAATCCTCCGGATCTGTCGCCACCGGCTCGTCTTCAAAATAATAAGCTGTTAAGTTTCCATTGCCGTTAATCTTCTATTAGGATCATATGTCAACAATTGTTCCAGTAACGATAAATCGTTATTAGAAAGTATTTCGTGTTCTATCTCCTGCCGCAATCTGCCCGGTGCATATTCCCGAAATGAAACATCTCCAACTAGTGGCAATTCACTGTAGTCGGGCCAAATTGTCTCTGAAGGTGTACCCAACACCTTGTATATTTTATTGAGTTGGTCCAACTCCGAGTTTCCGTAAAACAGTGGCCACATGTTAACTTATTCTGCGAATACACACCCAACACTCCACATGTCAACAGAGTAAGAGTATCTTGGACGCAATAAAAGTAGTTCAGGCGCACGATACCACAGGGAACCCACAGTCCGTGTATATTGCTGAGGAGATAATTTATAATCTCAGGACATTCCAAAATCTGCTACCTTCAAATAATCATGTTTACAAATCAGTATGTTCTCGGGTTTAAGATCTCTGTGGATGATACGGTACGTGTGTAGATATGTTACCGCACCCAAGAGTTGCGTCATTAGGCAATGAACGTGTTCTGGGTAAAACGTTTGTCTTGTGTTGCGCACTTTATCCATTAAACTTCTTAATTGACGGGGCAGATACTCCATAATGATGTAAATCTCTTTTATACTGGAGCCCATCGCTACTTTGTGCGCTGGGACAACATTTCAATGCCACACAGTCATCGACAGCTTCAGCTCTCTCGCAGCACCGATAGAGAATCGTTTCTCGGAGTCAAAAACCCTGAGCTGTTTGACAGCAACTAATCTCCTGTTTGTTTGTAGATTGCTTTGACTTGCTTGTTGTTGCTAGTTGTTAATAATTTAATAGCCTTCAATGGATCCTATACACTCTTTCAAATATCGGTTGACGATACCTTCAGCTTCTTCCCTTTCATTTTCACTTTCGTCCGGTGTTCCTTGGTTAAAAAACGCTTTTTCTTTAAGTGACCAAAACCGTTTCCAGGTATTCGTTATTCTTCGTTCTATTTCTTTTTTCATGCAATCCTCTGTAGATATCAGTTGGCCCAAATATATATATTCCTTTACATACTCTATTTCTTCGTTATTTACTGTTATTTGTTCGTGGTATACTGTTTCCTGAGCGTTCGTCATAATTTTAGTTTTTGTTAAGTTCATTGTCAAGCCGGCCTTGGCGCTTTCATCAGATAGTTGTTGCAACATTAGTCCCAGCGTTCTAGCGTCCTCGGAGAACACAACCAAATCATCGGCGAAGCGTAGATGGTTGAGATTTTCG